ATACCATTCCATTGTGTGCAGTTCTCTTTTAGGTGTGCTGTGCATCCCTTTGAAATTATCGTTAATTCATGCAATGTTAACTTGTCTTCATGAGATGCCAACACCTGTGTTGTTTCTTTTATTTTGAAAGATTATTCCAATTGCGAAAATGTTTTCACATTTGTATTTATTCGCTGGTGTTTAGTACTTATTTTTCAAATTGCCCTTTTGACACTACTTTCAAAACTGTTTATTGACAAAAGGTTTCTGACATTTCAAATTGTTCTATTCTTTTCATCAAAGACACAGTTTCATTGTTCCAACTTTCCAGCTTAATATGTTCTTTTGTAACATTTTTGTCAACAGAATAAAAACATTATGGCTGAAAATACTTTAGATTTCATCAAAGCTTCTTATTCTATTTGCTCTTGTCTTTGCTCTAATCTTTGCAATATTAACAAAATGAGCAAACCAGGAATTTTTCAGCTTCTCTTCAGAAATCAAATTTCCAAGTGGTTAAATGAACCAAAACAAAGATTTTCCAGAGTTTCATCAGAAAATAAATTTATAAGGGGTAAGTCTTGGCATTTTCATCAAAATGAGCAAAAAATGAGGATTTTTCAGATTTCATCAGAAATTCAAGTTGTAAGGGGTTAGTCCAGGCATTTTCATCAAAATGAGCAAAAATGAAGATTTTTCGTATTTTAATCAGAAATTCTATTTGTAAGGGTTAGTCTTGTCATTTTCCTCAATATCGGTCAAAATGAACATTTTCCAGATTTTCATTAGAAATTTAAATATGTAAGGGGTTAGTCTTGCCATTTTCATCAAATTAAGCAAAAATGAACATTTTTCTGATTTTTACTAAAATTAAATATGTAAGGGGTTAGTCTTGGCATTTCATCAAAATGAGCAAAACTGATGATTTTTCAGATTTTCACCAAAATTTAATATGTAAGGGGTTAGTCTTGGCATTTTCATCAAAATGAGCAAAACTGATGATTTTTCAGATTTTCACCAAAATGTAATATGTAAGGGGTTAGTCTTGCCATTTTCATCAAATTAAGCAACAATGAGCATTTTTCAGATTTTCACTAAAATTAAATATGTAAGGGGTTAGTCTTGCCATTTTCATCAAATTAAGCAACAATGAGGATTTTTCAGATTTTCACTAAAATTAAATATGTAAAGGGTTAGTCTTGTCATTTTCATCAAAATGAGCAAAAATGAGGATTTTTCAGATTTTCATCAGAAATTCAAGTTGTAAGGGGTTAGTCTTGGCATTTTCATCAAAATGAGCAGAAATGAAGATTTTTGCAAATTTTCGTCAGATATTCAAGTTCTAAAGGATTATTCCATATTTTCATCAAAATGAGCAAAAATGAGGATTTTTCCGATTTTCACTAAAATTAAATATGTAAGGGGTTAGTCTTGCCATTTTCATCAAATTAAGCAACAATGAGCATTTTTCAGATTTTCACTAAAATTAAATATGTAAGGGGTTAGTCTTGGCATTTTCATCAAAATGAGCAAAACTGATGATTTTTCAGATTTTCACCAAAATGTAATATGTAAGGGGTTAGTCTTGCCATTTTCATCAAATTAAGCAACAATGAGGATTTTTCAGATTTTCACTAAAATTAAATATGTAAGGGGTTAGTCTTGTCATTTTCATCAAAATGAGCAAAAATGAGGATTTTTCAGATTTTCATCAGAAATTCAAGTTGTAAAGGATTATTCCATATTTTCATCAAAATGAGCAAAAATGAGGATTTTTCCGATTTTCTTCAGAAATTCAAGTTGTAAGGGGTTAGTTTTGGCATTTTCATCAAAATGATCATATATGAAGATTTTTCAGATTTTCACCGAAATTTAATATGTAAGGGGTTAGTCTTGCCATTTTCATCAAAATGAGCAAAACTGATTATTTTTTAGATTTTCGTCAGAAATTCACATTCTAAAGGATTATTCCATATTTTCATCAAAATGAGCAAAAATCAAAATTTTTCAGATTTTCATCAGAAATTCAAAATGTAAGGGGTTAGTTCTGGCATTTTCATCAAAATCAGCAAAAATAATGATTTTTCAGATTTTCATCAGAAATTCAAAATTTAAGGGGTTAGTCCTGGCATTTTCATCAAAAACAGCAAAAAATAATGATTTTTCAGATTTTCATCAGAAATTCAAGTTGTAAGGGGTTAGTCTTGGCATTTTTTTCAAAATCAGAAAAAATGATGATTTTTCAGATTTTCATCAGAAATTCAAGGTCTACAGGATTATTCCATATTTTCATCAAAATGAGCAAAAATGAAGATTTTTCACATTTTCACCAGAAACTCAAGTTGTAAGGGGTTAGTCTTGTCATTTTCATCAATATCGGCCACAATATAGATTTTTCAGATTTTCATCAAAATTCAAGTTGTAAGGGGTTAGTCTTGCCATTTTCATCAAAATCAGCAAAAATGACGATTTTTCAGATTTTCATCAGAAATTTAAGTTGTAAGGGGTTAGTCTTGGCATTTTCATCAAAATGAGCAAAAATGAGGATTTTACAAATTTTCATCAGAAATTCAAGTTGTAAGGGGTTCATCTTGCCATTTTCATCAAAATCAGCAAAAATGAGGATTTTTCAGATTTTTAACACTGAGAAGTTTAAGTTCTATAGGATTATTCCATATTTTCATCAAAATCAGCAAAAATCAAAATTTTTCAGATTTTCATCAGAAATTCAAGTTGTAGGGGGTTAGTCTTGGCATTTTCATCAAATCAGCAAAAATGACAATTTTTCAGATTTTCCTCAGAAATTAAAAGTTCTAAGGGGTTAGACTTGGCATTTTCATCAAAATGAGCAAAACTGATGATTTTTCAGATTTTCATCAGAAATTCAAGTTGTAAGGGGTTAGTCTTGTCATTTTCATCAATATCGGCCAAAATATAGATTTTTCAGATTTTCATCAAAATTCAAGTTGTAAGGGGTTAGTCTTGGCATTTTCATCAAAATGAGCAAAAATGAGGATTTTACAAATTTTCATCAGAAATTCAAGTTGTAAGGGCTTCATCTTGCCATTTTCATCAAAATCAGCAAAAATGAGGATTTTTCAGATTTTTAACAGAAGTTTAAGTTCTATAGGATTATTCCATATTTTCATCAAAATCAGCAAAAATCAAAATTTTTCAGATTTTCATCAGAAATTAAAAGTTATAAGGGGTTAGTCTTGGCATTTTCATCAAAATGAGCAAAACTGATGATTTTTCAGATTTTCATCAGAAATTCAAGTTGTAAAGGGTTAGTCTTGGCATTTTCATCAAAATCAGCAAAAATGAAGATTTTTCAGATTTTCATCAGAAATTCAAGGTCCACAGGATTGTTCCATATTTTCATCAAATTGAGCAAACATGATGATTTTTCGNTTACCATTCCACTGTGTGCAGTTCTCTTATAGGTGTGCTGTGCATCCCTGTGAAATTATTGTTAATTCATGCAATGTTAACTTGTCTTCATGAGATGCCAACACCAGTGTAATTTTTTTATTTTGAACGATTATTCCAATTGTGAAAATGTTTTCACATTTGTATATATTCACAGGTGTTAAGTACTTATTTTTCAAATTGCCCTTTTTGACACTACTTTCAAAACTGTTTATTGACAAAAGGTCTCTGACATTTCAAATTGTTCTATTCTTTTCATCAAAGACACAGTTTCATTGTTCCAACTTTCCAGCTTAATATTTTCTTTAGTAACATTTTTGTCAACAGAATAAAAACATTATGGCTGAAAATACTCTAGATTTCATCAAAGCTTCTTATTCTATTTAATCTTGTCTTGGGGGTAATCTTTGCAATATTAACAAAATGAGCAAACCAGGAATTTTTCAGCTTCTCTTCAGAAATCAAATTTCCAAGTGGTTAAATGAACCAAAACAAAGATTTTCCAGAGTTTCATCAGAAAATAAATTTGTAAGGGGTAAGTCAGGGCATTTTCATAAAAATGAGCAAAAAATGAGGATTTTTCATATTTCATCAGAAATTCAAGTTGTAAGGGTTAGTCTTGTCATTTTCCTCAATATCGGTCAAAATGAACATTTCCCAGATTTTCATCAGAAATTTAAATTGTAAGGGGTTAGTCTTGGCATTTTCATCAAAATATGCAAAAATGAGGAGTTTTCAGAATTTCATCAGAAATTCTATTTCTAAGGGTTAGTCTTGTCATTTTCTTCAATATAGGCCAAAATGAGCATTTTTCAGAATTTAATCAAAAATTCCAGTTGTCAAGGGTTAGTCTTGGCATTTTCATCAAAATGAGCAAAAATGAGGATTTTTCCAGATTTTCATCAGAAATTCAAGTTGTAAGGGGTAAGTCTTGGCATTTTCATCAAATTGAGTAAAAATGAGGATTTTTCAGATTTTAACCAAAATTTAATACGTAAGGGGTTAGTCTTGCCATTTTCATCAAATTAAGCAAAAATGAGGATTTTTCACATTTTCCTCAGAAATTCAAGTTATAAGGGGTTAGTCTTGGCATTTTCATCAAAATGAGCAAAAATGACGATTTTCCACATTTTCACAAGAAACTCAAGTTGTAAGGGGTTAGTCTTGCCGTTTTCATCAAAATGAGCAAAAATGATGATTTCTCAGATTTTCATCAGAATTTCAAGTTGTAAGGGGTTAGTCTTGCCATTTTCATCAAAATCAGCAAAAAATGACGATTTTTCATATTTTCATCAGAAAGTCAAGTTGTAAGGGGTTAGTCTTGCAATTTTCATCAAATTAAGCAAAAATGAGGATTTTTCAGATTTTCATCGGAAATTCAAGTCGTAAGGGGTTAGTCTTGCCATTATCATCAAAATGAGCAAAGATGATGATTTCTCAGATTTTCATCAGAAATTCAAGTTGTAAGGGGTTAGTCTTGCCATTTTCATCAAAATCAGCAAAACATGATTTTTCAGATTTTCATCAGAAATTCAAGTTCTAAAGGATTATTCCATATTTTCATTAAAATGAGCAAAAATGAGGATTTTTCAGATTTTCTGCAGAAATTCAAGTTGTAAGGGGTTAGTCTTGCCATTTTCATCAAAATCAGCAAAAAAGAGGATTTTTCAGATTTTCATCAGAAATTCAAGTTGTAAGTGGTTAGTCTTGGCATTTTCATCAAAATGAGCAAAACTAATGATTTTTCAGATTTTCACTACAATTAAATATGTAAGGGGTTAGTCTTGCCATTTTCATCACATTAAGCAAAAATGAGCATTTTTAAGATTTTCACTACAATTAAATATGTAAGGGGTTACTTTTGCCATTTTCATCAAATTGAGCAAAAATGACCATTTTTAAGATTTTCACTTTAATTGAATATGTAAGTGGTTAGTCTTGTCATTTTCATCAAAATGAGCAAAAATGAGGATTTTTCAGATTTTCATCAGAAATTCAAGTTGTAAGGGGTTAGTCTTGGCATTTTCATCAAAATGAGCAAAGATGATGATTTCTCAGATTTTTATCAGAAATTTAAGTTGTAAGGGGTTAGTCTTGCCATTTTCATCAAAATCAGCAAAAATGACAATTTTTCATATTTTCATCAGAAATTCAATCATCTTGCCATTTTCATGAAATTGAGCAAAACTGATGATTTTTTCAGATTTTCTGCAGAAATTCAAGTTGTAAGGGGTTAGTCTTGCCATTTTCATAAAAATGAGCAAAAAAGAGGATTTTTCAGATTTTCATCAGAAATTCAAGTTGTAAGTGGTTAGTCTTGGCATTTTCATCAAAATGAGCAAAAATGAAGATTTTTCAAATTTTCGTCAGAAATTCAAGTTCTAAAGGATTATTCCATATTTTCATCAAAATGAGCAAAAATGAGGATTTTCAGATTTTCTTCAGAAATTCACGGTATAAGGGGTTAGTCTTGGCATTTTCATCAGAATGAGCAAAAATGACAATTTTCCACATTTTCATAAGAAACTCAAGCTGTAAGGGGTTAGTCTTGGCATTTTCATCAAAATGAGCAAAAATAATGATTTCTCAGATTTTCATCAAAAATTCCAGTTGTCAAGGGTTAGTCTTGCCATTTTCATTAAAATTAGCAAAAATGAGGATTTTTCAGATTTTCATCAAACATTAGAGTTCTATAGGATTATTCCATATTTTCATTAAAATGAGCAAAAATGAGGATTTTTCACGTTTTCTTCAGAAATTCAAGGTATAAGGGGTTAGTCTTAGCATTTTCATCAAAATGAGCAAAAATGACAATTTTCCACATTTTCATAAGAAACTCAAGCTGTAAGGGGTTAGTCTTGGCATTTACATCAAAATGAGCAAAACTGATGATTTTTCAGATTTTCACCAAAATTTAATATGTAAGGGGTTAGTCTTGCAATTTTCATCAAATTGAGCAAAAATGATGATTTCTCAGATTTTCATCAGAAATTCAAGTTGTAAGGGGTTAGTCTTGGCATTTTCATCAAAATGAGCAAAAATGAAGATTTTTCAAATTTTCGTCAGAAATTCAAGTTCTAAAGGATTATTCCATATTTTCATCAAAATGAGCAAAAATGAGGATTTTTCAGATTTTTATCAGAAATTCTATTTGTAACGGTTAGTCTTGTCATTTTCTTCAATATCGGCCAAAATGAGCATTTTTCAGATTTTCATCAGAAATTCAAGTTGTCAGGGGTTTGTCTTGTCACTTTCACTGAAACGAGCAAAAATAGGGATTTTTAGATTTTCATCAGAAATGTACTGGTAATGGGGTTCACCTTGCGAATTATATTAAAATGTTTCCAATTGCAAATTTTCTCCAAAATACTCAAAAGTGATTAATTTTTTGTATTGTCCAAACTCTTAAACATTTATTTATCTGCGAAAATTAATAGAGACAAGAATAACATATTTAATCAGTGAGATGTTTCCAAAATCACTGAGAGTTAAAGAAAGCCCTAGAAGCATCATACACCTTTTCATTCAACATGTATTGAAAAAAAAGCAAAATCTAAATAAAATGACATGGGGTTAAATTTCTTGATTTTTTATTACAATTTGACAAATCTTTACTATTCTTTAAATCACTCAGATATGCCTTTGAAGAAAGATTTGCACCTTCAATTTTTAGTCAAAATCCTGTGTAATCACTTCGTAAAACCAGGGAAAAAATAAAGTAAAATGGAACATAGAATACATGTACACCTCGTTGTTGCTCCATTCCAACTTCTAATTAAGCAATTATTTACAAGCTCAACTGAAGAGTATGAAAACCATTTAGAAGCAACTGTTTTCCCTTGGAATTCATTACATTGATGAATGCAACACAGCTATCAACTCAAGTTTAATGTACACATGTAGACCCAGGGAAATCAGCAGCATTTCTTAGTTACTTGCAAGATCAGCAGTTCATGGAAAGTTGACACAGGGAAAGTCATGAAAAAGTCATGGAAATTTTTTTTTCATTTTCTGGGCCTGGAAAAGTCATGAAATTTTTCGAACACAGTGTGTGATTTCTATTACCAGATATACTGTAAGTACATAAAATGTGTGATTTTATTCGCAACTCCAGATAGTCCATGAAATTGCGTTATTGGGTCGTGGATTTTCATAATTTGGTCATGGAAGAGTCATGGAATTTATCTGTCCTGTAGGTGCAGGAACCATATTGACACCTCTACACCGCTGGGAATTTACAAAGCAGCATTTCGGTCTTTTAACTGAGGAGAGACCCATTGTAAAAACATGTACCCAGCAAAAAGACAGAAATGCTTCTCTTACCATCAGAGGACTCATTAAATAAATTATCTACATGTAGATGTGTGTGTCAAAGTTGCTAAGCTAATCACATCGCCTAGTGGTTTCATTAGGAATACAGATGGGATGGTGGATTGGTGGTGGGGCAAGGGCATGACGGGATGTGGCAGAGATTTGCCAAGGCATCAGTTTGTGATGCGATTGTGATTCTAACTTTTATACATGTATCTAAATATCATCACACAGTGAAATGCCTTTATATACATGTAAACAAGGTCCTTGGGACTTTACCAATCACCAAGTTAAGGAAAAAGACCCTGTTTTATCATGAACAAAAAACAGAATATGACTTGGGACCTAATAATTTTCTTTGTTATCAGCAGGGTGTTGTGTTTGGTCCCCTTATCAAGTTACCATTAGGGTTCATCTGTGTAATCTGTGTATATCCATACCTGAAGACCGTTTCCACTGTTGCCAATGTCCCCGATCTCAAAGATTCACATGTGCAAAATGGTCCACCTTATCAATACTTGTGTGCCAATTCATCAGAGAATTACAAATTGCTGCACAAATTTACATGAGCCTGCAACGGTTTCATGCAGAATACGTATTTTACAACATATGTACATGAACAATGTAAGAAACACTCTAAATTCAAGCATTCACTTCACAAAGCAGAAGAGGCATGTTACCTTATTTAATCTTCATATTTCATTGCTTTCCTTACTCATTTTCACTGAACTGTTACAGTGGCCTCCAGAATTTGTTGCTCACCATCCTCAATAACTACATGGGCCACAACATTCTCTGTGTCAATGTCACCTTGGATCTCAGATTCTTCAGCTTCTTTCCTCTTCATTGAGTAATCATGTTCCTTGGTGGCATCCTCGTCCTCTTTCTGCTCTGCTATCTCTGTATCTTTCCTGACTTGTCTCCTCCCGATGGCAGACCGTGGTTTCCATGTGGCATCCTTCTCTTCCAAGTCTTCTTCTTCGGCTTCATCCTCATCCTCCTCATCTTCTTCGCTACTAATACTCTCTATCTTCACGGGTGTCTTTCGCGGTCGCCCCCTTTTCCTGGGAGTACCTTTCCTACGATTCAGCTGTCTTGCTGAACTAGGCGTCAGTGACGTCACTGATAGCGGCCTCCCTCTCCCTCTCGTTAGGACTGGCTTCATCTTGTTTTGCCAGAGAAGATCAACATTCTTGGCCCGAGCATCGTCAACCTCAGCCAGAGCTTCCCGCAGTATGTAGAACAACACGTCTATTTTGTCTAGATTGGCTAGACTGCAAGACTTCTCAAGGCAGTTCACAATGTCTTCCACGCGTGAGTTGGCTACTTTTTTGGTAACAAATCGCAGTGACCTTCTCTTGCGAGGTGACACTTTGCGCTCCACCTCAGGTTCCTGTTCTTCCTCTTCATCGCTGGAGCTTGAACTGTCATTTTTGTCATTGTATGGGCATTCCTTCTCGTGTGCGATGATTTCAAAAGGGTTCAGCTTCGCTTCGCATCCTTTGCTGGCAAATGAGCAAGGAGCATCCAAGAGCAAATATAGGTGATTCAGCTGTTCCGTCGCATCAGACAGCTCCACGATCACCTCCTCACATTTTGGGCAGACATTGCCAAAATTCAGCCAATCACTGATGCAAGCCTCACAGAATATGTGCTTGCATTCTGTGCTGACTGGTTTCAAGGGCAGTCGCTTACAGAGGGCACACGTCAGGAACGCATAAGCAAAGTTCTTCTGATTGAAACGGTTAATGTCTATGCTCTCTTTTGCCTTCTCCTCCTTGATACTGCGAGCCTTGAATCGGCGGATCATGTTGAGGTAAACGTACTTAGTGAAGCCGTCTTGTTCAGGCTCTTCCAACCCTTCTTCAGGGTTAGCAACAAGGGTCTCATCTACTACAGCTCCCTGAAGAGCTTGCAGGAGAACGTTAGTTCTCTCTGTGTCTTGCGATGATAGTTCCTCTGTGTTCTCTTTCTTGGAGGCTGCATCATCCTCAGAGTTCTTGTCATCATGGATATTAGACTGGCCAGTCTCCTGTCTAGCTATCTTGGCCTGTGCCGCCAACTCTCCGACATCAATGGACAGTTTTCTCTTAGGGAGCAATCCCGAGGCTCGGTCACACACAAAGCACTCCTCGCTGTGTTTATAAAATGTGTAGAGTTCAGGAAGTGGAGGCTTCTTGGATTTGGCAGGCTTCTTGAGGTACTGTTGTAGGACTAGACGACACTTCTGACAGACCATCTGTGGATGGATTGCTGGGTCGTCATTGGTCAGGTCAATGCCATACAGCTGCTCCAATAAATCAGCGTAGTTATCCAAACAGTACTGGAGCTTCTCACCTGCCTGGCCACAGACACGACACAAAGTCCACAACTTAAAGATGTGCCTTTCCTCTGCTTCAATTTTGTTGAAGTCCATCTCGGCTAAAGTCCACTGAAATCCTGCCAAAATGACAGCATTATACATGTAACAGATGTTTCATTTGTACTATTCCAAACACTCATAATTACATGTATTTGTATGTGAATCTTCTGATAAATCACATTCAGAGTAAGAAAACCAAGGGGGTTCATAAAGGTTTAAGAATTTATGAGCACATGTACACATGGTACACATGCACATGTACTTAATACACTCAAGCATGTGAAGGGTACAGTGAACATGAACATGATGAGACATCAATTAGGCTTACACAGAGTAAAGAATTGTTTACACAAAATGAGAGCGAAATTTCACTTCCCCTTTTTTTCTGAAACGACTTGCGAATGTCTAATGTTATGGTTTGACAGTTACAACTGACGATCCGTCAATAATCAAGTTCGCAACCGTCCCTTGTCTTGGGCAATGTTGGCCCTTCAAAAGTAATAATACAAATACAGCACGTTGTTTTGTGCGATTCCTTGGTTGAAACTTTCATCAAAACACGTTTAGCAATTTCTATGTATATTACACTCACTTTTGGTTTAAGTTGAACAGCTCAGAATAAAAGATTCACAAGAATAACGCAGAAAAAAGAAAGGACAAAATCCATCCCCCGGGCAAAGAATGGCGGACTAACGCTTATGTGTCAAAGGTCAACATAAATTTGCCGAACGCAAGAGGGCGGCATTCAGGTTAACCACGGCTAGCTCAGATTATGATCTGAGCTCGATGAAAAACATACATTATTTTCAATAACTTTTTTGCTGTAGTATTACGAAACACGCGGGAAATAAGGAGAAATAAGGAATCCAGCAAAGCTATTGAATTGCTGTTGCCACATATTTGAATGAATTCTGGGATAAGAGACTAGAAATACGATATGCATGTATGCAACTTGACGCAAACAAAAACTTTTGCAATGACATTTCTTAGTTTTTTTATCTGCATTCATTGTGCTTTGCTGATATTTCTGATACAGCCAACAATATAAATGTAACAAAAGGCCTTGTTAGGTTATGCTCAGCAACACCAAACAACTGTAAAGAAATTCTTGTCGATATCCACTTGAAATTGTGTTTAATACAGTATGCAAAGATTACTTTGATCCCTAAAGATGACAAATCTGACGAATCAGTCACACCTAGAATTTATTTGAATCAAATTACAGAAATATGCACAAGTGTGTATTTTACCCACACTATATGGCTGAATGCCACTCTAGCTTTTCCTGTTTGTGTGAGAATCACTTTGCCCTTGTACCTTTAACTTAGAAAGGATGAATTATTTTATAGATCCACTCATTTTTTTTAAAGATTCCTATTTAAATGAGAGTTTAATCCACAACATGTCAACTTCTTGTAATTCTGTAACAATGCCATTCAAAATACAGGTTTGCCAAGTTCTCTAGTTTACAGTGGATTTTTCTTCCTTTATCAAATTTTCCCTTTCAGAAAATAGAATGAAATAGACCAAAAGAATTGTAGCATCAAGAGATGAACAGCACACTCGTCCATAAGTTCATTCCTCGGTAATACAAGTCATGTATCACTTTATAAAAGCTTTCAGGTTTTTTCCTGACAAGAGCATTCACAAAACCAAATGTCACTGCCTATTTGTTTATGGGTTTTTAACACACAGTTTCAATATTTAATATTAAAAAACAAATCTGTATCAATGTTTTAGTAGACTTGTAGAAACACTTCCCATGACAAATTATCATTTTCCAAGTAACTTTGAGCCAAAGACAGTTGAAGTTATGCAATGAACAAAACAGCAAATAACTAAATCTCTCTAAGCATGTGCACCTCTAGTAGCCAGAATCAACTCGATACACACAAACCTAGACACAGCAGCACAGTTTATGAACAAATTTGCTGCCAAATAGTTCAATAGAAATTACTTCTTGTTAATTACCCTTTTGAACATTCGGATAGTTCTTTGTAATGCTAGCACATTTAGGCACAGAGTAAAGAAAGGTTAACTGTTAAAAACGGGATCCTCCCAACCAAAGACTGAGACCAAACATGTCAACTACAGCAATTGTTCCACATAAACTTCAAAATGAATAACGCATAGTTAGTGCACATTTCACTTCAGAATGACTTGTTACAAGTTACATCATGCAATATAGTGATGTGTGAAGGTAGACAGCAAAATGTCAACTTTTCCAAGAAAATGTAAAAAAAAGGAAAATTACCAATAAAATCTAACTACTGGTACAATTGTGTTGAGCTACAGCGCAAACTATTAATACAACCCAACTCCGTAAGCAACGAGCCCATGAAGGAAGGCGACACAGGGAAAAAGTACTTTCAAGAATTAAAACCAACAATTTTAGAGACATTTAAAGCACCTATTCTCATTAAACTATCCAAAAATGGTGAAAATACTTCTGCCAAATTTGAAATTTTCACAATGATTCCATGAATGCAACAGCAGCATTGCAAGCATCTTGCTGACTTCTGGCTGGCATCCAAAGAATTCAAACCACAAACTTACTTGGTGGTTTTAACTTTTTAAATACATATCGTTGGTTTGCCAGCCTGCTTGTAATACTGGCAATATGAGAATTTTCTTATACGTTATGTACAGTATTGACGAGGCAATGATGACTGTTCACAAAGGTTGTCAAACTAATTCCCCTTCTACTGGCAACAACACATTTGCTACTCTAAAAATAAAACTATTCCGTACCAGAATGAATTGGGAGGACTGCACAAGAAGATTTTTTCCATCTTCAAGTTTAGATTTACATTTACAAGTAAGCATCTGTTTTTGTATTACATACCACCCCTTTGAGGAAGTGCACTGGTTCGTGTTTCACAAACCGTACACCAGCTGACCCTGTCTGATGAGAAGATACCATTACTGAATTCAGGTAGGGGACAGCAAATGGAGGGTGGGGCTAAACCGTTAACATACATGAATACCCAACTACCAGTCCTTTTTGTGCTCATCCATGCTGACACCACCAGGACCGAGGGCAACGACAAGAAGCAAACCACCAATGACAGAGAAGGTCTGGAAGAAATCATACTTGAGGAAGTCGCGCATGGGGCGATAGCTGGGGATGTTCCACCAGGCATTGTAGTAGAAATTGATGACCGTCAGCCACAGGACCAGCACCAAAGCGCACAGCTTGGTCTTGAAGCCGATGGCCACCAGGATGATGAGGGCAGAGCCAATCAGATTCTGAGCCATCTGGATGAAGGACATCTCAAATCGCAACAGGGTCATAAACATGAGCACCAGAAGTATCCTTCCACTCAGCTGCATGTAGGTCTTGGGCTTGTTCTGACCCATGGAGGGGACACCCGCAAACAGACTCTTGCCTTCGGTACGGGACTCAGCTAGAAGCAGAATTATACCGCCTGCCAAAGCCAAGTTTCTGGTCAAAGAAGCAATAATGTGGAGAGTTACTAATTTTAACGGGAGTTTACATGTAAAGGATACTGGCATGTCCAACTGGAATGTCTTGAGTGGACATGTTATCATGAAATGTACACTCAGAGTGGAGAGGTCAATGCCCCTGAATTACATTGCACATACAAATACACATAAATCCATGGATTTGGGGGAGTAAAAAGTTTTTAGCACGGCATGAGTCATTCTAATGTTCCCAGATCCTTCAAATTCCATCAGGTTTGGGTAGGATTTTGAAGACATAAGGAAGATAGTGACAAGTTATTTCTTAATCAGACTTAATGTGGGATAAAATTCAAATTGTAGAGAATATGCCATCAAGTTGTGGAGTTTTGAGGGTTCAGGTTGGTTCTTAGCAAAAAGGGGTAAAGGGTTCAGGTCAACACATCATAGAAAGATATCCACAAGACTAAATACTGAATGGATAAAAATCACCTATGACTTTTCAGTGCATGTGGTCTACATTCTTCCTTATAGGAATGAAAATCACATGCACCAAGAGGTCACAAGTACAGCATGATGCATTACATACCTCATCAAGAACTTCAGGTCCCATAAAATACTGTACCCAACAGTCTGTGAAGGAAACAGGCAAAATTATAAAGGTAGGATGATTTCTTCGAAATTAAGCACTTGATTTTTAATGTTTGAAGCTGCTGTGTTGGAGTCATGAGTCAATATTAGACATGAAACTCGGATGATACCTGATCTTTAAGGTACAGTCCATCATTTGCCATTTTGTTGAGGTAACAAAATTACTCAAAATCTAAAGAAGGGTGCCTCAGAACAAATCTGATGAAGTTTGAGCTCGGTGATTATCGTACATTCTGAAAACAACAATATCCTAAGACTTTGGTCTCAGATCAAAAGTAGCTGAGTCATGTTTCGAATTAAGCCTGAATTCAGTATCTGGGACACATTCTCCCATTCAATTTATTGCAGTTATGCGATGTCATGCACTGAACTGACAAATTCTAATTACTGTGTCCTATCAAGGCTTAGGTGTGCTTTTAATGAAAATTTTCCAAAAATGCGTCTTTAGATGTATTATTGGAAATGGCCTTCTTTCACTGTTTTCCTCAAAATGACAGCTTGCCAGACAGAATAATTTCACAATGAATTTAGTCCCATAACCATCTGAAAATCAAGTATTTTAATTTTGTCAGTTATTTTTTTGATAACTACAACCGATGAACTGCATCATTAACCCTCCTGTAATATTTTCATGATTTCGAATCTATAATTTTATTATCATTATTATTATTATCACTGGTTGATTTTTAATTGTACTCCTCGCCGCCAGTGGCAGAATTGTGAATCAAATTACTATCAGGGCTGGTGGAATGGAAAACTCAAAAAGTGAGTTGGGGAATGACGACCCACCTGCAGTGCAATGATGGCAAACAGGAGACCGCATGCATAAGGTACTTTGAGTCTGCTCAGTACCATCACACAGCCGACCAGCTGTCCAACCAGGTTAACCAATACAAATAAGGTACTGCATTCAAAATAAAAATAATCCATATCAAGATTTTTGTGACAGTTGAATTGAAAAAAGCAAACCATCACAAGATGCAAGCACAATAAGCTTATCAATCTTTTCCCTTTTATAATCATTCCCAGTTCATGTTTCTGTGACTGCAATTACTGAGGGTAAACAATGGGGAAATTAAAGTTCAACTCCACAGGAAAACTACTTGCGACCTAATCAGTTATATTTAAAACTGGTAAATTCATGTGTAATTTCAAGCCGTAGCCCGGTACAGGATCTGCCAATTCTGTGTCACAATAATGAATAACAAAAGCAAAGGAATAAATCACACACAAAGCTGTTACCAAAAAAAAAACCACGGCTGTCCAAGTACTGCACTATATATGAATAGGACCCTCCTCAAAAGTAATGTTTCTCACAGATATCCGGAGGCAACACCTGGCACCAACCAAGGGTGATATTCCTACAAACTCTGACCATCCATGCAAATGGTTTGTAATGTGAGAAGGGTCCGAGCTGATTTGGTTCCAAATTGGTATCATGCTCAGTTTGGGTCATAGTGTGGGTACAAATTGGTCTGAGTCTGACTTAGCCTGGGTTTCAGCTGACTTGATCCTGTCTTTTTTGGTCAAATTGGTCAGGTTCTCCTGGGGCAACTGTCCTAAATTCATTCACATCAAGTAGAACAAGAGGATGGAATCTGGTGGATCTGAGAAGGCCAGGGATCATAGACTACCTTAAAACTGCACCACACCCCCATGTCTGGTCTATGTAGTCTCGTTGTTCACCCCATTGGAACCACATACGAATACCGTCCTCGAGGAAAGTGCTTATGAGACACAGTCTGGCTACATGGGGCAAGATGTGCTTGCTACGCCTCAACACCTGCATAAAAGAGCCAACAAATAAGTAAAACATGTTGAGAAACAAGTGCCACAAGGGAAGAAAAGGTTTGAGGTTCTCCACCCAAAGTAATTGTACAGCAAAATGTATGCCTGGAAGCAATACTCAAAACTAAAAACAGCTGTTGGAATTTGATGGATTTGGAAGGCAAAACTTGGGGGAGGGGGGATAATGGCTGGATGGATGTTCTCCTGGCTGGAGACTTGCCTAACGCTTCAAATTACATGGGAATTTTACTTGTCAATAGTTTATATTAGTTTTTATATCCTAAAAAGTTGGTTACTAACATTTTATAAATCACACAACACCTGATTTACTGAGTGTCACTAACTAACTGCTAGCTTTTTTACAAACACATTGACTAACAATGATTCATAATTAAAATTGAAGACGAAAAATAAGTATACCAGGTCTAGTAATTGTTGCGTAGACGTTCATTAAGTTAAAGTGAGATTTAAGGGGAAAAAATCAACAAGCACAATACCACGAACAAATGCAAATTTTTATTGATTTTTCCAGAACTTTTAGTGACACATTTCACTGCAACATGCTTAATATCCAACTTATTTTTCCGTCGCCAATATGAAGCCCAAACAACTTATCCTCATTACCTGGTCAGCTATGTCTTCTGCTTTCCCGAGGAATTCATTTTTAGAGGCCATTTTCCTCAAATGACCACAAAAACGTCTAATTTTGTGAGACAGTTGCGCTCACGACCGACCGCTCTCTCGCCCAAAATACCGGAAGGGCCATGCATACGGCTACACAGTTGTACACATTATAGGCAGTATGCGGCACTCACGCGCGCTACTAGATTTGTCGCTGGTTCCAGCACAACGCTTGTGTGTTTTCAATTACTGATACGGGAGCCAGCCCCCACCCGACCACCGGTGCCACGTCTGCTTTGCGAGCGCCCTCCATTGACCATAGTTGTGAAAAACAACAAAAGCAAAACAAACACCTCCAGACCAAAACACTCTTCCCCTGAAAACTACCATCTAGAAAAAATGTTTCAAAATAGGAAAGCATCATGATGGTTAAGCCAGGAACAAAAGAGGAGGCACTTAGGCCTGCGATCGAAAATTAAGAATGATAGAGCTTTGTATTACGGGGTTTGCCCTTACCAAACATATATATTCATATATGGAAGGGCTGCGTAGCACCATGGAGGAATAAAAACACATTCCTCCATGGTAGCACCGTGATCAGAATATCGACAGGAATATAATACCAAATCAATGCTCTGAAATATGTGATTGCCGAGCTTTCGGTAACTGAGTACCCTCTTCAGGGCAAGCAGGAGGTACCCAGTTACTGAAAGCTCGGCAATCACATATTTCAGAGTACTGATTTGATATTATATTCTTGTCGATATATATTTATATTCACTGTATACTAAGTACTTGTGTCCGAGAGCTTGCGAAAAAAGTCACAAGCTTATTTGGATGGGATTCAAACGCACGACCTCCTGCTTGCTATTTCAGACGTCTTCATGTCAGGAATCCCCCCCCCCCTTGCGGCTGGACGTGTGGATTTTGTGGACTCATGTCTTATAATCCTGTTATTATCAATTTCTGGACGTACGTAGATTTAGTTCTAAATGGTTTTAATTTCATAAGTGGATGTCCTCTGTGCCCCGTAAATAATAAATTCGGCCCAAAAAAATGTCTTAGGTATATTTAGGAGGGAAGTGTTGGGGGGGTGTCCCAACTGCAGATCTGAAATAACATTTGATGCATGACTGAAAACCCAAACATTTCTCCCTGTCTTTTGGGTTGACTACATGCATAATTTCATATTCTTGTAATAGAACAATTTGAAAACAAAGTGAAGTTTACATGCATTTATTCAAAAATAAATAGAATTGTCAACCAAAAAGTAACGATCAATAATAAGTACAAGATCTGGCTGACGGGTTTTGAACTTATATGACAAAAAACGCAATAAAGAAAAGTGTAAACTAAAAACACTGAGCAGTAACAACCCCAGCCTTTATGGTGACAAAACCAGGCTGTTTGGCATGAACAGAGGTAGGATTAGATGGAAGGTGATTGCAGTTGGCCTTAAATTCTTTTTTAACTCAACTAATTAGCAAAAACTAATTCTCAAAAACCACCAGATGCCTCCATATAGGGTTTTAACCACCGAGCTAGCCGGGGTCGGCTGGTCGGTCCGCCGGACTCAGGTGTAGCAGCGGGTACTGCGAACTATTTTCAAGTTGCGTTGGGGAGATGTTAATTTTATATTACGGTGGTCGAGTAGTTAAGACGTCTGCACTAGTAAGCAGGTCGTGGGTTCGAGTAAGCTTGTGAATTGTTACGCAAGCTCTCGGACAAGCACTGAGTATACTGTGTTTAAAAATATATACGTTGGGTAAGGGCAAAGCACGTAATATAAAATTAACATCTTTCCAACCAAAAGTACAAATTGAATATAAAACTTTGGCGACGATTGATGTGAAAGACAGTAGATGGACGATGATGATGTGGGGTGGTGAATTATAAACGCCAATGGGGTGATAAAATGTTAAGCGTAACAAGGGGAGGGCACTGGGTACACATTATAACTACAGTTACCCAGCCCAAGATTGCCAGGTTGTCATCAACTTGAAGAAGATTTGCCATGATCAGGGATATTGGGGGGTGGTGTTGGTTGAGCATTGGCGATTTCTTACAGGCCATTCACGGTCCGGCTGCACTTTTTGTCTACAAGTGGCTTTCCACACTATATGATGGCTGACATACAAAACCAAAAGGGTAAGTCACAAGGTATTCAGTGTTGTTGATGCGAAGAAACAAAAATAAAATCAAATAAGAACAACAATCCTTTCAAATAAGAACACATACTACTGCAAAATTCTAAATGAAAGTGATTCCCATTTGCTCACACCATAGTATTGAGTAAGGAACAGATGCTCTAACAATGGAGTAAACGGCACGTCCACTTTGACAAGAAAAATACTACTGACCAAGCATAAACTTTTTATTAATTTTGGCAGCCGTACAATTTCCGGTATAAGCAATGTTTGAGAACATTGTCTAAAAAGTAAAAGTTGGATGGAAACATTAATTTGTGCCAAATGTACAGCGTTGTAAAGCCAGCAAGCTGCAAGACAGTATACCTGGGGATGGGGGGTTCGCACTTGACACCCACTCAGTCCAGAGCCTTGTATTACTTCATGGAAATTTGGACTCTTTGTGATACAGGCACCAGACTGCATTAAAGGCCGCCCACTTTATTTTGATTGGCGAATGCTTGCCCGCTAAATGACACGTGCTCACCCTGGACGAATAGCCTGGAACCAGACTCAATTACCGCACTGACTTAATGCAATCGCTGGTCTGTTTTGTAGTCGGCGACCAGATCACAACAATCGACCATGCCGTCTCACAAAATTTAGGACATCCGACTGATCGTTGGATTTATTCGGTCCTCTAAATCAGGTTTTCCTCGTTACACGCGAGACATAACTTGTAGGTGTGGGCAGACAGATGTCTGCTTTCAAACTAGGGATTGTCCGGCTTGGTCGGGCGGCAGGAAAGGTAAGATTTTAGGGACCGACGCCCTCTGTTCTTTATTGTTTCAGTCATCTCACAGTAGGCCCCTAACAAACGTTACTACTAGGAATAGGTAAATTAAAGGGCATCGTCAAATGTAACGCAAATTCTTTTTCTCCTCCAGGTACTATGGTGGCATGCATCATATATTGATTGCTGAATTTTTTGCGTTATGAACAGAGATGTTTCGGCTTGCGTGGAACCTGAGGAGTTCTTTTTATCTCGGCAAAAGAACGTGATAGGCTAGTGTCAGAGTGTAGTATTCAGAATTAACACTACACATGACAGTCTGGAGTAGGCTTTTGCCATATGATGTTCTATTGACTATGTTGGCCTACCTACCTCCATGGTCTAACTTCTGAACTGAGACAAATTAGGCTTGGTTTAATGTTTAAAATACAAATGTATGTTATCCAAGCTATCGTCACTTCAAATATTATTAACATTTTAATTATGCCGTGGCTGTTGTTGCGGCAGCCGTGACACATTTCCCATTTTCTATTGTTACGGCACTGAACTGCGCAAGTGCGATGACGTTGCTAATCATCACGACAGTTTATATATTTTAAAATTACCTGGATGGCTTAATGCTACTTGTGGTCGAGTGGTCAAGGTGGAAGATTTTGAACTGTGTGTGAGTTTGAATCCGCGCTTGGATCATTCTATTTTTTTCGCCTAAATTTCAGGTTTTATACCATAATTGTTTTTTTATGTTGGTTTCTTATTGTATAGGCCTAAACAGGAATCTTTTTCTTTTCTCATCGGAGGCTTTGCAGGATTTTTTAAAGGGAAATAAAGTCCGAAAACTACGCTTAAGTTGGCACGCTTGCGCAGTTGCAGTGCCGTAACTATAGAAAATGGGAGATGCGTTACAGCTGCCGTAACAACAGTCACGGCATTTAAAATAGAAAGCCATGATGATCAGCTACATCATCGCACTTACGCAGTTCACTGCCATAACGATAGAAAATGAGAAATACGTTACGACTGCGGTAACAGTAGCCACTTCGTTTTAATTAACTTTAAGCATCTTAAGTGACAATTGGGTGAGGGGAATTGACTTCATTTGTGCATGATTGGGCCCATGCGCTTTGGCCTTATCATCAAAGGGTAATGCTACAGCATTTTGTTTTTCTTTTTCAACATTAAAAGCAGTCAGCGGACAGTGACAACATGAACATTGTCACGATTGCACTGTGAGTGACATAACTGATTTAACTGTGGTGTTAACTCGGCCGTTACGTTGATCATTCGTATTTTGTAGATGAAATACTCGCTGCTAGATGAGCAAGACATCTCTCTTGTTGAACGCTATGCATTTGAGGTACAGTAATCTCAGAGTAGGCCTATACCCAGTTAACTGAGAGCCTACTTGTGCATACTAGAATTTGTGCTTAAAACATGTCTATCACCTCAGTTAGCAATTCTCTTAATAATTTTGTCACATAAAGGCCAGTAAGAACAAAGACAAAGATTCAGACTGCATTTGATAGCTCATACATTTATTAATTAACACTAAACATCCCGAAACTATTGACAGTATCTACATCATTAATCGCGATAGTTTTGACCAAATGACCTGAACAAACATGCTCCAAATCTCACTCTCTGGTGCAAGACACAATACAAAATACATATAACTTCTGTAAGCCCTTACCAGGCAATTTATTGAATGATTGCCCCTGAAATTTCAGGCTCGGGTTGATGTATGCAAGGACGGGAATGGTGCTAGTGTCTTTGCCTACACCTATGACATCCAGAAGGGACGTAATTCTGGCTGCTACCTCCATGATCTTCTTTGGGAGAGGCATCACGGACTGATTCCAGCAGGACTTAGGGTTAAGCACAAGAATGGGGTGTCAGTAGGTATGTGGGCCTTGGTTACCAGAGAGACAAGGCTAGTGGTAACTCTAGTCATCACATTGCCATTATTTGTGCAGACATCTTCTTTGTTAAACGATCTGCCATTGTTTCAGTGTGAAGATATGCAAGAGGCCTCTGTACTGATGATGTCACATTTTGTTTACGTACGTGCTTTCCTAAGGAACTCAGTGGATTGTGGAACCCCAAAGAGAAAAAGTCACTTGTAAGCAGAGTGTGATGCCATTTGTACAGAAGTCTGTTTTGGAGACAGTTGCGCACTCATTGTATATAATATTTCACATTTGATATAATTCTGTTTGTCATATGCCAGTATTCATTTATAAATGTCTGGTTTTGTTTTCAAAACAGATAATCGCTTAGACAACCTTCAACTCACTGCCGTCAATCCGTCTTCAAATTCCTCATCAGCTGACTCGCCCAGGGTCTTACAAGGTGCTGAGCTGCAGGAACACAGCCTTTATTGGATAGCAATACAACAACTTCCAACAGATTCTTTCGAAGAGGTAATAACAGATGATGCATTCATCGTCTAGTAATTGGCTTAGGAACATAAACTGAGTAATTGTTGCTTGGCTAGAATCATTCTGCTGAGGGGAACAGGATTGCAATAAAGCACAAGGCAAATTCAGCTCTTGAAGCGGGCGTGCAGGATGCAGATCAAATTCGAATTTCTTTGCAATGGAAACTTCTGTTCCATCTTTGGATGAAACGTTCTCCTTATAATTATTAATAACCAGCTGATAGCTAAAGAAGAAAGGACAAACAAGTAGTCGCATGAAAAATTGAAATAATTTAGACAAAAATTAAAAAACTGGGAGGGGAGGCTGTCCCCTTCATGAGCTACTAGGTAAGCAATCTGGTTTCAAAGACAAACATTGACAGTTCAGATTTGAAGCTTTGCATGGTTGAGGCTTGAGAATGCACTATGTAAGGAACTGTGTCTTTGGAAGAAGAACCGCACAACAGCAGATATCTCAAATCATTGCTGTCTTTGGTTTTGGATAGGTTCCTTCTGTGTTGCACCATTATTACAATGCCAATGGTGAGATTATCGAGGGTGAAGATGAGAGCACCACGTACTACGAATGCCACTACCCACCCTGTACAAAAATAGAATCAGAGGTATGTGCAGTCCGCAAGGAAATGATGCATGGATTAGGTGTGTATGGGATTGGTTGAGGGCGCTGTGTGAAGCTGTGAGACCCAAGTGAGGGCATTAAGGCTGTACATGAATCAGCTGACTAGGGCTTGGAGTAACACACATATCCATAGGAAGTGGCTACAGTCACTAGCCTGTGGCTTTCCGTAGGCACATTGTTAATGCCAACCACAGCCATGACGTGGACACAGCATCATACTAACATCAGTGACATGCATAAAGTGTTTAACAGTTGACTCAAGTCATAAATAAGTTTTGCAGTGGAATTAGCACAAATCCCGTTGCTGTTCACTGAATCATGAGTAACTGAAGGGATGAAAGTGCTATCTGCAGAGTGTAATTGTGCACCTGTCTTAATTATGCACAGTTCCTCAAAAATGTTTTTGAGCATGATGCCAGTTTTTGTAACATGTCAGCTTGTTGCTTAATGTTGCTTTGCCATCCCTCTGTTACAGCTGCGGGAATTCAGCATCTGTGGTCGCTGTCAAGAGGTGCGTTACTGTGGCACAACTTGCCAACAAAGAGACTGGTCCCTTCATAAGAAACGCTGCAGGGAACGGAAGAAATCCAAACCCTATGAGCGACCACCTGATCGCTAATGACAAGCATTGCACAGAGATGTATTATATATATATATAAAATGTCCCCACTGATGTCAAATTTGCAAGTTGGTTTTCTTTTGGAAGGAGTTTAGAAGTTGGTCATACAGGGTCCTGACATGCTTGACAGTAAGTCGGAAGTGTGGAATCAAAGATTTATTTAAATCCTGTAGCATTAAACAAAACATATGCCCGTTATTGAAATTGTTTGAAACCGTGTCAAAGAAATTGCAGAAGTGTGACATGGCAGCTGTTGTTGATATTGAATTTCACTTGGCATGAAGATTGAGTCCAGCTGGTTTGGAGTCAGACAGCTATCTGGCAATTCATGTATTTAACAATAGTGATCCTCAGTGCAACAGCTCGGTGAGTTCCAAGAGGTCTCTGGTGGGGGGGCATTTTGGACCTCAAAGTTTTGCTCAATTAGTCCCTGACTTTAATGGTCAGGTGTATCACATTACCTGTCTGTGCTCTTGATGACACTGTCATACATATACATGTCGGCGGAAATGCATGGTATTACAGTTTTACAGGCTATTTTGTATGTAAAAACAAACGGTGGTCAGCATATTTTGCGCTCAGAATTACATTACATTTTCCCGAAACATTGCTTGTTCCACTGAAATCAGATGTTTTATTGCCCGCAATACATAAACAAATTGATCCAGATCCCTTTGGAAAATATTACCTTTATTGGACAAAATTAAGCCAAGTTTGAATACATTTGTATGGTAAGAGCACCATCACTGCCTGTAAGTATTGTATATAGATACATCTTTATTGAGTGCTTCACATTCTTAGAGTCGTTGAATTGTCAGTGTTAATCCCACATCCGTCAAAATCCACCAGAACTGAGAAGGCTAGATTTCAGACTTAGTCTACAAGAGGTTTCATGTCCGTTGAAAGGAAAGCTGAGTTCGGAAGATTCAAGAAGATTCTTTGTAAAAAATGTCTTTCAGCAGTTGTTTGTTTTTTTTCAGACATCATGGCAGATACTCAGACATTCTGTAGCTTTTTGCTACTCTTTTGGAGTCAAATATTTTTCATGATGATCTTCAGGAATGCTCATGTATGTGATCATGAAGACATCATGATTTCAGGAATGCTCTCGTATGTGATCATGCAGACATCGTGATTTTCAGGAATGTTCTTGTATGTGATCATGAACACAGTTTACTTTGGATTGCTTGTCACTGTCAGATAAATATCAAAACCTGCTCAGGATAAGGGTTATCAGAATCATACTGCAGAATAATTCTAAAGACACTTAGGAATATGTTTTGGACACACGTCTTTATTTAAATACTGGAGCAGTTAGTTTAGTTTAGTTAATCCAGTCAACACATTTCCTATGTGCACTATATTTCTAACAGTCCAGAACAACCACTTAACTGATTTTGATGGATGAGACACATTCTTTCACATTTGCATTGGAGGGTTAAACATGATTTCGTGGTCGAACTAAATGTGCTGATAAATATCGTGCAAAGTTTCGAGAAAGAAACTTGGCATTTTCATACTTGAGATGGTGTATTTGCTGGCACGCATCATCTCTCTTGGGTCAGTGTGTATTCGAGACTTCCTTTGATAAAAGGTCTGGCATTTGGGTAATACTGTAAAAATTGTAAATAGAACAGTAAGAGTGTTGGAATGCATCTTGTGAATGAATCACTGAGTTATTGAGAACAGGTGAATAAAAACTAATTTCAGGATTTATACATAATTGCTTGCAAAAGAATGTTTTATTTTAATAGTGTGAGCTTTTGTTAACCGAAAAGTCATGTTAAAATTACTGACAGCTTGCTGCATTGGGATGAAATTAATTCCAGACTTACAGGAAGCATACCCGTTGTATTTTTGAAGAACTTGAATCCCATTGGAAGAGATATATGAACTATTAAACGTCTTGAATGGAGGACATCAAGTTGACAGTATGGCAGGTACGGTAAAAATGGAGAGACTGATTATAATTACTGAAACATGGTGCAGGATGTGAACTATTGGTTAAAAGAAGAAAATACCAGTTGCCACTTAATTCACTGACAACATTTTTCTCCAAGTTTTCTTAACCACAGGAGAACAAAGGAATGTCCACACTTTGTATGTGAAACAGGTACGGGTGTAGTGTGTGGTGTTTCCAGACCCTTTGCAATTAGGATTGTTACTAAGCAGAATGCCTTGGTTGCATTTTCCTCCCTCCGTCTGGTGAAGACAAAGTTAATTTAAACGATTAACAACAAATGTAGGTATTTTCTTGGCCTAATCCAAGATCAAACAAGTCCATTATGCAAATTTTGGTTCATGCATGTTTGCCAGGATTAAAGACACTAGCAATCAGTGGATATTAATCTCCAACTCTGCACATAGCAGTCTAGTTGTGTGTCGTTTGGAGACAGAACGAATTTTTCCAACCTTTCCTCCCGGCCAAATGGACTGATTAGCTGTACAAACAACGACGACAACCAAGAGGGTGTGTGTGTCCTAATTAACCATCAGCTGTTCGTGCGACCACAGAACCAGGTTCATGCTTCGTGGTGCAACCATCACACATTTGTGAAGAATTGTTCGACATTATCTTTCCAGCCACCGGTTGTTAAATAACTGTCCATCCTATTCAACTGACAAGCTGCGAAGATGGCCATAAGTTTCTCTTCCGAAGTTTTCAACACCAGCGACTTAGATATTGAGCACATTTCAGCCCCTTTAACCTCCCTCCGGACAGTATGTATTTCTCTCGTTGTTGGCCTGATCATTTGCATCACGATCACTGGCAACATTATGGTCATCGTTGCCTTTATCTTAGACCGTCGCATCAGAGCTGTACTTGGCAACTGGTTCATCTTGAACCTCTCCGTTTGTGACCTTACGATTGGCTTTGCCGTATTGCCCTTCAACACGCACTGGGTTAACGTAGGGCGCTGGAGCTTCGGCGAAACGTTCTGCAAAGCCTGGCTCATACTCGACTTTTCTGTAGCTCACATGTCAGTCCTCAGCATCATGTTCATCAGCTTGGATCGTTACTGGATGGTCACAAAGACCTCCAAGTATCGCTCTTTTCTATCGAAGAACAAGATTCTTGCAATGATCATTCCGGCATGGATTACCACCGTCATTTACTACACGTTTGTGGCACTTGCATGGGCTCCATTGACAGAAGAAAGTCCTTTTGACTTCAACGAGGATTGTGAACTTGAAGCACTGATGAATGTGTATTTTATTATTGTACAGATTCTTCTTGCATTCGTTTTCCCGTTAACAGTCATAACTTATTTAAATTTAATCGTTTACACTGAAATAAAACGAAGGACGAGAGCTTTCCAAAGAAAGCAGGTGCGTGTTATGGAAGTGAGCTGCGCGTGTGAAGAGCAGAATATTGGTGACGCAATGTATTTGGAAAAACTGTATAAAGTGCGACTCAATACTAAAGGAAGGACTGCCGTGACGTCAAGTAACCCATTTCTGGATGACAGAAACATTCGTCAAACATCCGAGATACACTCAGATACAAAGGTGTACCAAGCAATCGCAGAAGACAATAGTGCGACATTCCATGGCAATCCAGCGTCATACTGCGAGATGACGGCCATAAACACCTCAACATTTTCTCATCAGCAGATGCCATTAGGCACTGAAACAAAATGTAGTGACAACGGCCCAACACTCAGAAAAGGTCGGAAATCGGATAACGGGGTCCAAATCGTGACGCGCAAGGAATTTAAAAAGCACAGGAAGGCAGCCATAACCCTTGCAGTTCTTGTCAGCGTCTTTGTCATCTGCTGGCTTCCGTACCACATCACAGCTGCATGGAACACCATCTGTCAGGGCTGCGTAGGGGATCCTGCCTGGGAGATAGTCAACTATTTGTTGTGGTGTAACTCTACTGTCAATCCTTTTCTGTATGCCATCACAAACAGTCGATTCAGGAGGAACTTTGTTCGATTCCTTGGATGGCGAAGGATCTTGAGACGAGGCAGCTGATCGACCTATCTGTTTAAACCGTTTACAAACAAAACTTAATGTGCTGAAAGTGATTTCAACTTCACAATTCATGCGATACATAGAATTGCCTTCGTTGATGGGAAAATGGCGATAACCCTTTAAGATACTCTTTCAGTTTATCGCTCTGTATAGTTTGAGGTATAAATCTAGCATCCCCTAAAGACGTGTGTTGAGAAAGCCTGAGTAATTTTCTTTCAAACAGTCATTCTAAACACTTACACTTTTGTCATACAACGGTCAAGTTTCGTGATCAGATTTTTAAACGGTGCGTGTGACGTCAAAGTAGGTACGTCCGCACGCGACCTGGGATTGGCTGAGATAGGCGCAAGCTATTCTGTTACCTGACAACTAATATTATGGTAACAGGACAAGATTGTCAATGACACTTTAATGTAAATAAAACATTAAGTACGAGACTTGTTTGGTTCCAGTTTCGCTCGATGGGGGAGATGAAAGCAAGTTGTTAAGAGAAACTGCGAGAGTTTTGACCATGCTGCAGTGGGTGAATGACGTTCTCCTTTTACTGGTTTCGGTTCTTTCTTTGGACAAGTTGGTGGATTATGCGAACCAGTCAAGGGTTTTCCTCATCTATGACATCTTACTGAGAAGGTGCAAAATGCAGATTTTTCAATCTTGAGGAATGAATTCAGTCCGAAGGGAAGAGAGGAGTAAGATGACATGAAAAGTATATACACACATATAATGAAGTCACAAATTCAATAAACAAGCCCATTATGCATGTAGCCGTGCTTTCTTAGGAGAATGGAAGCCATATTTTTAATGCTTCGATATTTCTAGCACATTAATCAGGTTATGCATCCAGATGCTAAGAATCTGTTTATTCTTGCCTTATCTTATTTATTCCCTCTTCATGTTTCTACAGGAAACCGTCTTTGGCCAATCGGCTTGGCTTGACACATGACATAGATGCCCAAGCCAATGAGCTGGTATCAATGACCATACAAGCTCAGGAGACACGCCGAGATGAGGCTTTCCTGCGGGACCAGATGTTCCACCTCAACAGACGTCTAAGAAGGTTCAAGATAAGGGAGAGTGTGGCACTCATAAAATGCCGAGCCTGGCAAGAACGCAAGCAGTTTCTGCTTCGAGAGAAAGATAAACAGGACAAACAGATCCAAGAGCAGCGAAAAAGCATGCAACAGCAATGGGCAAATCACTGTGACGAAATGAAATCCTTGAAACAAACTTTATCTGATACTTTGAGAGAAAAGGCAGAAATGGAATCTGAAGTAGGATCGCTGCAAGATGAAATTAAAAGTCTTGAAAAGGCGTTAAAAGCAAAGTCGCAAGGGGTCGAAAATTTGAAAATTGTGAGGAGTGCAATATCTGAGGAGGTAGAACATTCGAAAGCTCAGCTGGAGAACACAAAAAGACGTCTTGAAGCGATTGATGCGAGTCATTCTCGGTTCATGGTCCAGCGGCGCAAAACTCTCAAGGCACTGAAAGCCCGGGCCGCTAAAGTGCGCTTCAAAGCCGATCAAGTCGAACTGATATGCTATATGCAAGAGAAGGTGAATCAAGTCACCCGGATGCGAGTGGACAGCCTACGGGAACATCTCGATCGCCTCCACGTTGACTTGGTCCCACAGTCAGAGGTCATTCTCATAGAACAACGACGTTACAAACTTGTTAAGATACTAAAACGAATGTGTATGGTCCTTCTTATTGAAGGGTTAGTTTATCTGGTATACTTTCTTATAACATCCATGTAAGGACATCATAAAGGCATTCAGAACAAGTAAAACAAATCTTGGTGGGTTTCGCCTTCACTCTGATGGCGCAACAGGGACTATCAAAAAGAAACAAATTCTAAATACCTCAAAGCCTATTAAAATACCACAGCCAGCTCTGTTTGCAAAACAGATGCACATTTACGGAGTGTTATTTTGATTTAACACTGCAATTACGTAAAGTTCTTTAAACAAAATACGAATTTATTGAGGAAAATCGAACTGAATGAATACACTCTACACACCGTCGCATCGACAAAAGCGAGTAACTAACAAAAGTTTAGTTTTTACCACAAAAGTCCATAAACTTGTTCGAGTGTCCCGATATAACCTGACGAATTAATCTAATCCAATACAAAACTCAACAGGAAGTGTTCGGTGTACGCAGTATTGAATTAAGAATTAGTCAATAAAATAATTTTCTAAGAAAAGAAAAAAACTGTCTTGATCTAAAGTACTAAATTTTACTGATGCGACAAAATGTTAGCCTATTTAAGTTTTTTGCAAAAGACGAAACAATTAAACACAGCATCTTGTTTTATGCAACACCAATTATTTTGAGGCGTGTCCTTAACTACATGTATATTCCATAGACCTGAAGGAGCCAGGTCTATGGTTATTCTTGTAAGATGTGTGCTTCGTGGCTTCACAGCAGCGGTAGTCCTGAACTTCAATCAAGGCCCTTGCCAACCGCATTTTTTTACACAACACGCCGCTCCTAAATGAAGATTTTAACCTTGGCTCTGGGTGATTTTTTCCAAAGGAACGTAAAGTCGAACATTTCAACAGCAGATTCTTTCCACCGAGGCACGAAGACTCGTCTCTTGTTTCCCAGCCGATTTAATCGCAGTTGCGTATTATATATCAAGCAGCAGCGCATGCCGCTGCGGCTAAACCGTGATGACCACTTGAGGGCGCTATGCAATTGATACAAAACCACATGGTTTTTCCTAGAGCTCTACGCCGCCCAGCCGCCGACGATCATCTCACTTTTGCCTTGGTAAGATTAAGAATAACATTGACTGATATATAATAACCAGTGCATTCAGATCATTGTGCTCAGTTGCTCGTAAAACTTGAATCTGTCATCAGACCAGAGTCATGCTGGAAAGCTCATCACGCACGCAGCGTTTCCGACCGGCTCGGCTATGTCGGCTGTGTGTAACAACTTGCAGGATCGGGCCTCCAGAGCCCGCGCAGGCCCGGCCAGAGCCCAGGCCAGAGCGTGGTGATGCATCGTTACTAATTGGGGTATGGTAGAATATGGGAAGAGCTTGCCGGTTGGGAATCCACCAGTAAAATTTGCCCCTAGTATTTTGACACTTTTGAGAGATATTTGTTACATTTCAGTGCAAATCCATCCAGTTGACTGAAGTATTGGGGAAAACAGAGTGAGAGTATAAGAAAAATACATTGAGAATTATAAATACGCTTCATACCAGCAACTGATATTTTTCAACAATTAGGTTTTGTTCACATTTTCAACTGTTTCATTATCTATTGCCTGTTACAGGTTGCATTCAAAGATCTGCATAACACTGATTACACTTCCATCTCATTGAATCAGTGATTTACTTTGCCATTATGCAAGTGCTGCCATCATCAACTATTGTGAGAATATTCTCTCCACTGTTATTCCGACAAAGATTCTTTAAGTTCACTGAGGAAATCTGCTTTTGTCAGATGAGGACTCTGTCTGCACCACAACCTGTGAAACCAAAGAAACTTACAAATACAATCCCTCATGGAAGACAAACACAAGGATATGCATCCACATGGACCAGTTACTCCATTTGCCCCAAAGCTCATAACTTCTTGAAAGGCGATCTCTTCAAGTGCTTTGGTCTCACTTCCATGAGGCCAAACCATCCCTTCTGGCAGATATCCAGTGTTATGCCACCAACAGTGGACCAGTCATCTTTTGGAAAACATACCATGAGGCCTATTCATACAGGTTTGAGAATCTTCTCCAATGATCAGAACAATTCAAATGAGAACAAAGATGTTGGGACAAAGACTGCCTTGGGGAAGATTCCAGACTCAGAGAGGTTAAATCTCATCTTCACTTGCAAGGTGTGTGACACTAGATCAATGAAGAGCATCTCAAGGATTGGCTATGAGAAGGGAGTGGTGATTGTGAAGTGTCCAGGATGCAACAAGAATCATCTTATTGCAGATAACTTGGGATGGTTTGCTGATGCTGGGGCAAGGTATATGGCAGATTTCTTGTCCTGTATGTCTATACAATTGCCCTAGTCCTACAGAAAGATCCAAACTAACTAGAGTAAACTGGACTCTTACTATTGATTTTCTTCAAAATGAACTTTATCTAAATCACATCTGTTTTGCAGATTTTCTTTCAGAAAAATTAGGTGTGCATGTAAATACTGATGAATTGGGAAACTAGATTATGGTAGTGAATGTAAACCCTTTACAAAGGTCTTAAATAAAAGAATCAAATCAGGTGGTATTTTCTTGAACTTTGAGGGGTCAAAAGGCTCTACAATAGACATGGGGAGCTTGTTCCATTGAGTTGCAATATGTGGAAAGACGAAACATTGTGGTTAAAAATACTGCTGTTGACTGCAGGATTGGATGTTCAAATGTCTCAGAAATTAAAAAGAACTGTGCAGTGAACAGGAAAATTAAGCCGTGCAAAAGTGGTGCTCAAAATGTACCAATCCTACATACCTTTGTTAATCATGGTCAGGATGGGAAGGGAGTGTTTTCTTGTGCCATTCCATGCCTGAATTATCGTACACTGAAACTAATTGCTTCTTTCATTCATCCTTTGACATTTCTACAGGAATATTGAGGAGATTCTTGCAGCAAGAGGAGAGACAGTGAAGCGGACCATAGATGAAGGGGATGTCTTGGAATTAACACAACTGGAAAGTGATAAGAAATGACCATGGGTATAATGTCTGATAGCAGCACTGGGGCACAGTGAGGAATGGAAAAAACTATAAACAGGTTTTTTTTCATACTGCTTTTAACTACATGGAAGATCACAGCCCTTTCCATTATAATATTTGTTTAAGTAGTCGGATGGGATAAAATTCAAGGCCTTAGCTAAGCCACTCCAATTCCTCTGATTTCAGATTTACATCTAGGTCCAGCAAGATGAGTTAGCAGTACATATACTTGCAGTATGCTGTGTAGATTTGTGTAAATCGGTAAAATGCACATTTTTGGATTGCCACCTAGATTAATAAACCTGATAATTTTTCATATTGCACTTTTCCTACTTCATCTTTAGAGAAGAGAAGAAAAGTTGAAGAAAAGAAAACTGTCATCACACAGACCGTGGTACAGACTTTCTAAAACACACTTTTCATTATATGATGTACTTGATAATTATTTATTCAGTACAAACCTATTGTCTTATGTGTAAGTGGTATCTTTTGAAGGTTGCTGTGATATAAAATGTCTTTCTCAAATAGCATCTTTTTCATGCATGTGCTGATTATGAATACAAATTGTGTGACAGTTTTTAATAAATAAACTAAACTGAACTGAGATTGATAGCATAAACTCCACAGAAACAATTGATTTTTATGGTCATGATTTATGGAACTTAAACCTGTTATGGAACTTGGAAGTCAAATATGTTTCAACAGATAGATCTTTTCAGATCTCCGCATCCTATCATTGGCTTAATATTTTGAACAAAATTCATTCAAAAGACACAGCAGAACACCTGATGAGGTCACTACAGCTAATATGGAACAAGTGGTTGAAGCAAGTTTGTTGATTTTATGTACAAACTTTGTATATGTGATGCTTGGTATTTTCCACTCAAAATCAAAATCTCAAGACCCTTGTCGTCTTATTTCATGTTCTGATCTTTCTTAATTCTCTGGAAAATATAGCTCCATACATGATCCATTCTAAAATAAACATAAAATGAATAAACTCTGACAATAAAAGGAAAGCTCAGTCTTCCCCTGATCAAGTCCTAGTTGGGAAAGATTGGTAAACAACATTCTTTATGTAATCACAAAGAGCATAGATAAATTCAAAAGGTTGGGTATGATGGCTGTACTTTCCAAACAATCTTTTGGACTTGTACAACTTAGATGGTATACAGAGTACTCTATTTACAACATCTGTGATGAAACATCTGAAATCAACTCTGCAAATAAAAACACAAAACACTACATATTTACAAGGTCGGCATGTACTGGCTGATGCTACTGTTTACTCTGTGCTGCTTCTTTCCTGGCTGCATCTTGAAGAAGCTGTGTGTCGCACTCATCAGCTGGTAACTGAACATATCTTACAACTGACCCACGGATGAAACAGTTCTTGACTGAAAGCTGTGGAGATACAATTGTAAAGTAATCATGTAACTTCTAATTGATTGTTCCTGGAAGAGAAAGTGGATTCAACACATTCATTGCAAATTCCTTCGTAAAGTAATCACTCACCATGTGTGGATATTTCTCTGGGTCTGTCACGCTAATATCTGAAAGCTTGATGTTCAGGAACTGGTCCACAGAGTGTAGCGTTCCACAGATACTGAAAAATAAGAGAAATCAAATTTGGTAATAACAAGTAAATGGGAATACTACACAGCCCAGTTGGACAGCAGTACATCTTACAATGTGCTTGTCACACTACAACTAGAGCCTAACTAACTGGTCACATACATGACATAACTAACACATACATGATATAAAAATAAATTATAAACTTGTATTATGATAGGCCTAAAAACAAATCTGAACAGTAATTTCAAACTTTACCTGAGATCATTCTTCAGCTCGACAACAACATCTTTCCCCACAAGAGATTTGAAAAATGAGTAAAAAAGCTGTGAAAAGAAGCCACAGATTGAACATTAGCATATTCACTTTGGAAATTACATTTCGTTGACTATGTTAAACAAAGCCCACAGCCTCACAGTCAAATGTGTCCAAATTACAGATTGCAAAGTTAACTTCAACAAAATAAATACTTATTTACTGTAAAGTAGGGTGCGCCTTTTGAATCTTTTTTAATTTTCAAATTCCATAAAGACACATGAAGATTGAAACTGAAAAGCCTCCCACAAAAAAACTTAAGAGCGCTCTAACGTCTGAACTATAGCATCAGTCCCAACTATAGTTGGGCCCGTCCCAACTAGTGTGCTACAGTTTGGCCGGCCCAACTACAGCAAAGAGGTCCTGTGTGCATGATGTGCCCAGCATGTGCCAAAGTCATATTGTTTACAAATGTCATGTCATTGGTCATAGGGCTACATGCCATGGGCTAAGTGCCACATTTTTGATGAATTGTGTCAAGTGTGAGACACATTGACTTGGATAATGCTGAGACATTTCCCACAGCCATTGGTCAACAATAGTTGCGCAAGCCGAATTGCAGCACTACAGTTGGGACTGTCCAAACTGTAGTTGGGACTTTTGCTATAGTTGGGGCATAACAGCGCCAACAATTGCTGGTAAAGTACGTAAGACCTGGCGCGGAGCCTGAATGTCACTGCGATTTAATAACCTGCGTTGGAGGAAAAAACAGTGTTACAAACAAAGAAGGACAAAAACTTTATGCACTAATCATTTTAGCAAAAGCACAACACTCACCATGGTTGTGTTTTGTGAACAAACTATGTACACTGCAATGTCTTCAGAACGAAATGTAAAAATTGAAAACGTCGTACAGACGACACGCAGACAAGAGTCACGCTGATTTCACGGTTTATCCTTTGACCTTTCCAATCAAAACACAAGTCTCCCAACGTTAACAATTTAATTTAACAATTTAATTTTACTTTAATTAGTCACTTCACTTTTTTATTATTTAATGATAAATTTAACTGTAATGTTTATCTATCATCAAAAGTATTGGTTTTTGAATCTGTTTACTCTTTTAGACTTACTGAACGAGCTTAAAATTAGATAGCCTGGTACCCACTTGGGTGTTTAATAATAATGCTACAGTAGCATGAGTTGGGTTTGGAAACAGCACTCGTAATTCTGCAGAGTCACACAACACTAGAAGATAGCGGAATCTACAGTTTTTATCGAAGGTTGTTTTAAAAAGAAGCATGGAGCTACATATGGAGCCTACACCTCACGCATCCCTAGGGGGACCTCAGCAGCGGTACTTCAGCCCTTATGCAATGAATGGAGGGTACGAAAGAGGGAAAAATTAACGTGCTTAGTGAAGGCCTAACTGTCATGACTGTTACTTAGATTTGCTTGAACATGTTGATCTACTGTGTTGATTGTCTTCCTTGCAAGTTGCAGCACAAGAGAGGGCGCCCTTGCGTGTCTTGTTTACATGGAAAACATTGAGTTCAAACTGTCACACTTTTCTCATGAATGTTTTCATTTTGTACCCATGTAACCAGTCATTCCAGGGGTCTTTTTGGAGTGGCAGGGTATTCTGCAAATTAGGTGATATTGTCTTTGTACATTCGGGCAATGCCACTTGTCAGATAAATTGTTAAGTCAGGATGAGTCTGCACTGCTGGAATCTCCATTCCTAGTTTATATAACAGCCTTGACAGATGTCACGGATATACATCATGTACATGTTTATACATTGGGCTTTCTTGCAAAGTTGATTTGCACAATCGCTCAATTTTTGCATGATTGGTTAACCTTGCTGTAATATCTGTTGATAATCATGATAGTTTTACCTTAAGACCATACCTTTCCTTTGCAATTCACAGTTGTGGAAGATTGTTTTGAAATAGGGAAGGAAAGTTGAAGAAGGAGTAACAGATATCACAATGTATTCATATTGATTGCACCTAATATATGCATGACATTTAGGGGATCTTGGTTCGTTAACATTTCAGATACTTGATGTGCATTCTTTTAAATATAAGGTCATTGTACAACGTTGAATTCCTGAAATTAAGCTCATACGCCTTTTTTTTTTAACCAGCACGATCCTTGCTGTAGCTGGCGATGACTTCGCAATTATTGCATCTGACACAAGACTGAGTGAAGGCTTCTCAATTCACAGCAGGAACCTCCCAAAAACATACAACTTGTAAGTTTCTAAAGTGAAAAGGAGTGAACCCCAAACAATATTTTCAGTGTGCTTGTAAATCGACTTTTCACCTACTGCCATATACATTGTACAGCTTTTGAAGGCCTGTTCTCTACAGTGTCCTGTGTTAAAAACTTCATTTTATCAGCAAAAATTCTCAAAATTGAGTCTTAAACTAAGTCAACTCGTAAATAAAACACTGTTTAAGTGGATTTCTGTTTTTCTTATCATGGTTGCAGAACGGGCAATACTGTCCTCGGATGTTGTGGTTTCCACGGAGATGTCCTCACATTGACAAAAGTTCTTGAAGCAAGATTGAAGGTTTGAAGGAATCTTTTTCTTGGTGGTGTTTGCGCCACATCAGCCTTGTACAGTGTATACATGTGGTTTGTTTGTCGGTGCTTTGTTTTGAGGTTTACATTGTCATTTTGTCTCACTTGGATTAGATGTATGAGCATGACAACCACAAGAAGATGAGTTGTAAGGCCATCGCATCCATGTTGTCATCCATCTTGTACTACCGACGCTTCTTTCCTTACTACACCTACAATGTCTTGGCAGGAATTGATGAAGATGGTAGGTAGAATGTTTCAGTTGCTATAGACTCATGAAAGCCAACAGCGGCAGAATGATTTGTACATTCCTCGCACAGACCCATTTGTTATTTTATAGCAAGTTACATAACCCCATAGAGCTAAAGTGCTTTTTTATGAAAAAACGAAGCAGTATACATGTAGGAATTGCATTATGCAAAGAGGTAGCACATGCTGATAAACCATGGAAAATAATCTCTTCTGTGAAGAAATGTTGGCTTTGAGGAGAGCTGGTGGTGAGAAGAGATCTTTATGAAGTATGTTGCTCAACTACCGTATATGATTGCCTTCCATAGGTAAAGGCTGTGTATACAGCTTTGATCCTGTGGGTTCCTATGAGCGTGAGGTATACAGAGCTGCTGGCTCATCAAGTGCCGTCCTTCAACCTTTACTAGACAACCAGGTCAGTTGTTGGCCATCTGTTTTGTGGAAGGCAGACTTGTATTCATGGGGAAGAAATGTACTGGAGTGGATATGAAAAGACTTGAATTTAGCAAAGCCAGATAGTCGAATACGGTAGCTTAAATTGCCTTATGAAGAACTATGGATTGTTTTAATAATAGAGTATTCTGTATCTTGGTATCTTGACTACCATTTGAAAGAAATCAATCCATCCCCTGGGGGGATGTAAATGGCCATATACTAAAAAAGCTGAAAACAGAGAGGAAAAAGCTGAAGTTTCCATAATTTTGTAGAGAGCAGGTGTACAAAAAAGTGGCTGAGAAGCTAAATTGGCATGCCCCAATACTAAGATTGTGTATCAAAGGGACCGAAGGATACGCTAACCAAGCAAGTTGATTGTTGGTACAAGAATAGGGTTTGCATCCGGCACAACTGATGGAAAATAACCAGTGCAGTGAACAAGAAATGGCTGAACTGGGCCTCCTTGATCATGTCTGAAGTAATGCACATGACTTGAATCTATTCGGAGATGATTACAAGGGGAAAGCTTGATATAAAGTGTCTTTCCATTGTCAGATTGGCGGCAAGAACCAGGAGGGGTATGTTGCACCTCCTCTCAGCTTACAGAAGGCAGTGGCACTGGTCAAGGACGTCTTCATCTCAGCTGCTGAGAGAGATATCTACACTGGAGATGGCATCGTCTTGAACATTGTCACCCAGGATGGTGTACGTGAGGAGAGGTTCCCACTAAGACGAGACTAGGCAGTGGAATCTTGAAATGTACAGCTTTTAGTTGTTATTTGAGGTCAGATCTCATTCCCTTTTGGCAGCAGGGCTGTTTGGGTCTGCTCTGGATAAATAAATTAAATTTGGCTGTTACATGGATGTGACATCTAAGGAAAAATATCACCTGTTTACATCAGTTGAACACACTGAAATGTTCATTTCAGAATTACAGAAATGCGTCTTGTAATTACTCAACATGTCTGGTGTTTACTTGAAAACTGTACATCTCCTCAAGCATTCTGGTGAGGCAAAAGAGAAAGAGTACCGTATTATTTTAAAGTGAATACAACTGATGAAAACATATGGAAAAGTTCAGTTTAAGCTCAATGGAAAACTTTCCAGGGCAGTGCATTTTCATTTTCAAGCAGTGGTTATCACAAAGGATATGTTTCTTATTCTGCAATGCAACACAAAATGTTCATGGTAAAACACAAACAGGATAAGCACAACTTCTCTACACGAAGGATTTTTCTTTATAGAAATGGTATTTTTATTTACGTTCATGTACAATTCATAAGTTACCATCTACAGTGTGTACATGTGCATGCCTTTGTTTAATAAAGTTAAGAATCTGATGGCAAATTGAAGAAAGTCTGTTCCTTTTGTGAAAAATTCTGTCAAGTATTGCTTCAGATCCAAGGGTCACCCTAGCACTGTAAATATGCACTCTAAGTGTTGGACCTGGAGGTTTAGTGTTACATTTGTACAATCCTGAAAGGGATTGGTAACAAAACTGGTTGCAGAGGTGCTTTCATCTTTTGTCAAGGCCAAAAAGAATAAATTACTGTCTCATTACAACTTGACCGGTCACTATCAGTGCCTTGCTCATCCTTTGCAGGCCGGCACAAAGTGCACTTCCAGTTGAGGAATACAGTGAAGAGTACAGTGACCATATTACTCAAAATCTTTCTGTTAATCCTAGGGCTCACCAGGCTCAACATCACTGTTTGCCTTAATCCATTTTACAAGTGTCATATCCCAGGTATTTACAACTTGCTGCCGGGTGGTTTGAAAAATGCAGTGCACACAAATGGGACATTTCCAGGATTTTCAGTTTTCAAAAATTCATCACTTCAATGAATGGACATTTACACCCACACGAATGACTGTCTGGTGGCTACTCTAATCTGGCAGACAAAATCTATTGACGCCCGAATATTTCAGCAAGGGGCCAGATTAGCGTGCAGCGGTACTGTGTGGCTCATCGCTGCAGTGGTGGAGCGCTTTTGTCCCCAGTGGTAATCTGCTCACGCTAAATGCCCAAAACCGTGGTATAATGTTTCAAAACAAGGCTGGATTATCTCCACTATTGAGAGTGAGAAAATGTTGGTAATGCCCAGCAGCCTGGTCTTTTGTTACGAGTATAGTCTTACAAGGCCCAGCTCCCTTTGTCCGATTTCGGAGACCCGGGCCACGCGTTTAAGCATACGTGTCCGGTACCGGAATAACTGGCAGGAAGTGGTTATGAGTGCCCCTAACCGTTCTAGGCACTTTGCGTATGACTGACCCTGATCTCTCACAAGACCATCAGCTCCTCTTGCTGCTGAGCTACCCTCTGCCTCTGTATGTCATCTTGGTGTAACTCATCGCGGTCTGGATGCCACAGTCTAACGATGGTGCGCTCAACTGCAGCACAGCTGACTGTGTGTGATGCCAAGACACCTGGATGAACCTAACAAAGATCAGATCATATGAATCTGTTGTACCTGTGGTTCACTTAACCAAATACTTAACAAGAAAACTTATCAACCAAAACTCCCAAAAACTGTTCCCAGGGTCAGATTACCTGCAAGGCATCCAGCAAGTCGTAGGTGGACACAGGCTTTTGAGTGGGCGGGATACCAGATGTTGCCTGCTGCATGACTGCACACTGTTCACTGGTCTCCGAGTCTGGTCTGGTCACAGAGTATTGGCCTGATGGGGTTTCCATGTTGGTGGAAGAGCTGCTTTGATAACCAAAACAAAATTAAAATTTGGGTACAGCTGGATGGTTCAAATTACCTACAACTCATAAAAGCATGTGTCTTAAATATAACACTACTACTTCGTGCTAAACAAGGATACATGGGTCATACAAATTTAAGGTCCCTGTCACATCTGCCATATGATTTGTAAGTTATTGCAAAATTTATTGAAATTTATTTAAGTAATGCAGATTACTTGTCTAAAAAGTAGAAAATAATTTGAAGTCAATC